GGATCCAGCTCAGGGCTGGGCCCCTCCTCTCCTGCGGCCTCAGCTTTCAGACCTGGGAGCCCCCCTCCCCCTCGCCGCACCCCACAGAGAGCCCAGGAGAGCTGCCCTGACAGGACAGTGCTGAGGCTGGCGCACGTGGAGGCAGGAACCAGTGCGCTAGCGCAGACCCCGGGCGCAGGCTGCTGTGCCAACACGCTGGCTGCTGGCACCACAGGACACAACACACCACTGCCCTTCACACGTGCGTGGGGAACACGAATAGCACACGTGTGCATGCGCCACAGTGGCACGCCAGGCTCACGCGTGTGAGGGTGTGTATGTGGCACAGACAGCGCACAGACAGCATCGCTCCCGACACAGTCAAGTGTAGGAGCCGTGGGCGAGGTGCGGAGGGGAGCGGTGGCCCGGGAGGGGTGCCGGGTAGGGGCTGAGCAAGCCGGGTACACCGGGTCCTGCTGAGGGCATGGACCTGCGCCTCCCTGGCATCAGAGCCTTTGTGGACAGGGCCCGGCGGGCTCGGTGCCCATGGCTGGGCCCACTCACCCCAGTCGGGGAACTCCTGGTTGTTGCAGAACTTCTGCCCCCGGGGCAGGGGGTACAGGTAGTGGCCGCAGCTGCAGTTCTGGATCATGTGGTCTTGGAAGCATGAACGAATACAGGCCTGGGGAGGGGACAGGAGGCTGCGATGACCAGTGGTGTCCAGGGAGCTGGGAGTCAGGGGAGGCGTCCCCCCTGCGAAGTGGTGGTGAGGTGATCGAGCTGCAGAGGGATGGGGCCACTCCCCGAGGTGGAGCACAGGGGACCGGCGGCTGCTCCACATGCGGACGCTGACACTTGGCTGCAGCTCTTGTTACAGGCCCAGCGGCCTTCCGAGCCCTTTACACGGCGGCCCAGGAGCAGGAGCAGCTCTGAGGGGACGGCGGGCTGCCTCCTGCGCTGGGGGACCGCTCGGCGGCCAGCTGGGAGGGCGGGGAGCCTGGGCTGCCAGGCCCGGCGGGATGTGAAGACTCTCCCGGGTCGGCACATTCCACCCACTGGCATCCCCTCAGAGGCCCGCTGTGTCTGCAGCAGCGATTCCCGCCCTCGGAGCCTCGGTTTACTCGTGGGTGAAGCAGGGTGGCAGTCACCTGTGGGCTGAGGGGGAGGGCCGGGCCTGGCCTACTCCCTGGTCTGGACCAGGAAATGGGGGGCAGGTGGTGAGCAGCCTGGGGGAGGGGCGGGGTGGTGAGGGGCTCTGGCTTTGGGAAGCAGGTGGTGTCTCCAGCCCCATGACGGAGCTGGGGTTGGCACAGGTGCCCGGGGTCTTTGCCAAGGTCTCTGGCCAGAGGTGCTATTGCATTGAAAGGAGCAAGAGGTTTCCTGGAAAGAGGTCTGGTGGGCGGAGCTAATGCCTCCGTGGCCTCCTACACTCTCCCTGTCTCCCGGGGCTGCCCCTGCTGAGGGGACCAAGCCTGCTGGGCCGAGTGTGGGGTGGAGGGGGCCAGCTGCAAGGGCGGGCGGGCAGGTGGTCACAGGGGAGGTCAGCTTCCTGTGACCACGCCAAAGGGAAGGCCACCCCTGATTGGAGCGCTCAGACATGGAGGCGGCACTGGGCTTCCCCCTTGCTGTGCCTCAGTTCCTTATTCCCCAGGGCAGACTGGGCAGGGAGAGGAAGTGTCGGCCAGTGGTTACTTTTGTCACCTTTGCAAAGATTGAGTCTGTCCCCTTCACTGGGACGGGCTGGGGTCGGTCTCCTGGGCTGCAGCAAGGCGGTTTAGGCCAGAGGCAGAGAGGGGCTCGCCCGGTAAACTGACGAGACGTGGACTCACTCTAGCCTGAGGCTCTTAATTATCGCCGCTGCACTGGGGTTGTTGGGTGGATTAAGTGATCGAACGTGGGAAGTACTTGGCAGAGTGTCGCCTAGCACACGATCAGCCTGCTATTAGCACTTAATTCACACTGATAATAACTAAATAGCATATATAATAATTAACAACTGCTGTTAGTGTATTATTCCCTCGTGGGTGTTGAAAGAATCAAATGATG